CTCTTATATAAAAATAAAGTGTAAGCTTGTTAGACAAGCTTTGGCCTAAAGCCATCCCTCCATACACGTGTATGGAGGATCACTTCTGTGCCCTTTAGCTGTTACAGCTGGCCTAAAAATATCTCCAAAAAGGTGATAGAAAGCTGCCGACTACTTGAAGTGGTCGGACAGCTACTTACACTGGTCGGCCAACCAATGGAAGCAGTCGGCCAAGGAAGAAAGTGGTCGGCCATGGGGAGGGAGATGGTCTGCAACATGAAAGCAAGGTGGTTGTGTGGTGGTCGACCAGAAAAAGTGGCCCAAAGACCAAGAAAACCAGTTGGTTGACCAGAAAACTGGCTGGCAGGAATGAAAGCGGTCTCCAAGGGAAAGAACTGGTCTCCCACCCTTGTACCACCTTCCAAACAAGGAAAACAAGGTTTTTGCAAAAAACAAACCAAAAAAAAGATGCAACACAAGAGTCCGGGAAGCAAGGCACGCAGCCGAGAGACCCGAAAACTAGTCTACGAGCATCAAAAGTGGTCAACAACCCAAAAGTGGTCTCCCAGACCACAGTGTCCCTCTAGGCAGAGGCAACAAGGCATGGTTCAAAAACCAAGCCAAACGGAGAACATTAAGCGGTCCCGAGACAAGGCGCGCGGCCGAAGGCTCTGAAAATCAGAAACTAGTCTCCAAGCAGGAAAAGTGGTCTACGACCACAAAAAAGTGGTCAACAGACCTCTCCCTCCCTCCAGGGAAGGGAAACAAGGCTTGGTCCACAAACCGAGCCAAAGCACAAAGAGTTCAGAGGCCCGGAGGCAAGGCACTCAACCGAAAACTCTAGAAACTTGAAACGAGCACAAACATGCGCAATCACCGAGCGCTCAATCGATGACGTCTGAGTCTTAAGGTCGGTCAAAAATAGGGTGTCTACACTGTCCAGATTTTGGTTCCTTTGCTCGAGCGAGGCTTTTGTTGCTCAAGCGAGCTTTATGTTTTAGTTCCTTCGCTCGAGCCAGGGTTCCTTCACTCGAGCGATCTTTGAGTGGTGTGTCTCTTGGCTCAAGCGAGCACTCTTGCGCTCGAGCATGCATCTGCGTCCAGTTTGGACCTGAAGGATGTGTTTCTTCGCTCGAGCGAGATTTCCTTCGCTCGAGCGAGCGAGCTCTATGTTTTGAGTTTCTTCGCTCGAGTGAGCACTCTTACGCTCGAGCATGCTTCTGGGTTGCAGTCCTGAAGCTTCGCATTGTTCACTCAAGCGACACTTCTTACGCTCGAGCGAGATTCTGTTGTTTCTGGTCGCTTGAGCGACCACTTCTTCGCTCGAGCGCTCGAGCGAGCCTCGAATATATCATATTACAGTAGCGAGTTTGTACAACACTTTTTCATCTCATTTACTTCTCAAACCCTAGATTTGGCACTCTCTGCCTCTAAACAACTACTTCTCTCTACAAATACTCTTAATCTATGGCTCTTCCATCCTAGTTCCTTTGTAAAAAGGATAGAGCTTGGCGTGGGCTTTGTTTTGATCCGAAAATTTGTGGATTTGGAGCATCTTGAGTTTCACCATTCTTCTTCTTTGAGCTTCTACTTTGAGGTAGGGATATTCTTGAGTTATATATACTAGTTTTGCCCTTTTTATGATGATTTAAGAGTTCCTTCTAGTTTTGATAATATTGACCTTGTGATTTCAAAATGTAGAGGTTTTCCTCAAAAGAGGGCCTCCCTTTAAACTTTAAATTTTTGGTCAATCCTTGAGGGTTCTTCTTGTTGACCTAAGAAAAGAAATGTTTTGGATGAGAGCTTTCACCATGAAATGGGAAGTGATTGTTTTGAAGAAAAACCCTAGAAATTGGGGATTTTTGTAATATGGCAAATGTCTTTGAAATGTTTTATTTTCTTGTTTTAAAAAGGATGATGAGAGTGAGTTTCATCAATGTTTGGCAAAAATGAAAAATTACTTGTTATATGAAAAATAAGGTGTGAATGTTAAATTGTTGGCAATACATGAATGAGCAAGGTTGTGGCGAGACTAATTTGTTATGTCTTGTGATATGAAAATTGTGACTATGTGTTGATGAAACGTGTTAATTTTGTGGATGAACATTGAAAGGAGAATATGAGAATATGAATGTTGACATTGTAGTATAGATAGTCAAAAGTGGAGAAATGTCTTAAGATATGGAAAGGATCATTTGCATTGCATGTTATCTCATTTATTATGGTGCATTGTGAATCTAAATCATGGAGATTTCCATCATAAGGGAAGGAAATAGTTATTGTATTGAGGACTATGAAAATGTGTAAGGGGTAAATACGTTGGTAAGTCCAGATAGGAGGTGTAAATGAAATTGTTAAGTTGGCCTGAGTGTCCTTGGTGAAAGACCAGAAAATCGCGCGGGTAGGTGTCGAGCCTTCCGGTTAATACCGGTAAAAATGACAATTTGGTAGTACTCGTAGAGTCTACTTGTAGACATCGACCTAGGGATTACCAGTGTTGTATTTACCGCCCCTATTGAATTAATAATGAAAGTTTGAAATTGATGAGGTCACTTGATGATATTGAGAACATGGCAATTTTGAAACAATGCATTAAAATGAATATTTTTCCTCATTGATTAACCTTGGCATAGCCTTGCACTTCATCTACTTTTGTGTTAAGGAAAAAGCATAACTGTATATACTTTGTGAGAATTTCTCTACTGGGCTTTGTGCTCACCCCTATGGATTTTGGTGCAGGTAAAGACGTGGTGATCCCGCCAAACTGAGGGCGTGGATATTTTTTATTTTTTTTTGTGAAGAGTAGATGACTCTCCTTTTTGTTGTAATTTTTTTGTAAAGCCAAGGGTCCGAGAGACCATTTTGGTGTAACCAGGCTATTGCCTTGGAAGATGTAAGTCCTTATGGGCATTTTGTTGCTTTGAGAATAGATGTTTCACATGTTATAGATTCAGGTGCTTTCCTATCATTGAATGTATATCCTCATGTGGAACTTTTGTAAAGACTCTTTATTTAATTATGCAAAGATGGAAGAAATGTTGTAATAAATGCGGGGTTGCTAATTAGTGTGGGTAGTTCATGTTAAATTATTTCGGAGCGTTACACATACTAAGGCCCTCCCCAATTCTAGGACTCATGTCCCTCATCCACTCATCTTGGATTTCGGTATCTCCGCAAATAATCTCAGCCTAGCCGAGATCACCTCAGCGTCATGACCAAGACACGTGACACTCTGGCTGACACGTCTACATCATCTCAGCCGCGTGCTATTATTCACAAAATATGCCCCACATATATGTTTTTTGTTAGAATCTGCCCAAGTCATAACAGAAAGTCCATTACATAAAAATTTGATAGGATTAGATCCATTAATTTCACTTTGAAAATCACATTTTATATTTTATGTTAGTGGCAGATAGCAATTGTGCCGGTTGAAAATGCTACACTTTAACTTATCCTAAAGATGTAATTTATTAGAAATCTGTTGGTATTTTTCTATAATAATACTAGAAAAATATTTTCTATAATAATACTAGAAAAATATATAAAATTAAATTAAATAGAATGACTACACAAATTTTTTATTGTATTTTATTTTATTAAAGAATCAAATACAAAATAAATTACAAAATTAAAAATATAGGAATACACTAGATTACATCATGGAATATATTGCAAGATGGATTCACATGGATATATAAAATAATGTACAATAAAAAGTTTAAATTTAAAACTTTGAAGAACGAAAGATAAAAGATGCAAACTGAAACCTGTGTGATGCCATAGTTTTCTTAAAATAGATTCATCGCCTTCTGATGGATGCATGACGTACGCTGACATCTGTCTCCCAAGACACGATGGTTAAAACCAGCTAATGCAGAAGCATCTTCTGAATAGCTTCAGCAAACTTGACAATGGCAACACACACTCTCTCTCTAACAAGAACTAAAGAAGGGGCTAGCAAAGAAGATAGGGGAAATTTTCTTTTGTATGAAAAACATCTCCAACTTTATTATTTCAAAATATCATATCCATTTTCCATTAAAAATAAAATAAAATAAAATAAAATAATCTCTCTAAAATTATATCTCTCAAGTTGAAGGGGAAAAACCTCTATTTATACAAGTAGGGGAGTCTTTAGCCATGAAGGCTATCATCATGAGGGCCATCAAATACCATTAACCAAGACCATCAACTCTAACCATTAGGGCTAGAGTTACAAAGGTTTAAAACTCCAAAACAATTAATTGACACATCATTTTCTTTTGTTATTTTCTCAGATTTTAAAAGTTCATCAAGGACGAAAACTAAAAATGAAATATAGCTTGGCAAATATGTTCTTCTCTTTTTGTGAAATCATAGAACAAATATAATTATAAAACCATCAAATTTATTTCGAATGCAAGTAGTTTTACAAAAGAATGAAATCTATGTTGGAGCATGTATAAAGGTGGAGTCCCACATCAGATAAAAAGTAAAAGAGATAGGTCTTAATGTACATAAGATGAGCTCTAGGCTTAAGTTTTTAAGTGGGTATGAATCCCAAATAATGTATGTTGGATTGGGCCGGTATTGTTGTGACCTTGTGGGCTCCCTAATTCCCTGATAACTGATATCAGAGCTAGTGGTAGACAATCTATGGGTGGCCTTGAGTTTGCACGAAGATTCCCAATAGAGTAAGAAAAATCCATGACAACTCTTGATGGAGCAAATGACGTGGCAAGGTTGGACCACTTGTTGTGCACTTGTGGACTCCATGATTCCCTAACAATCTATTCATACACATACATCAGGAAATGCTTCAAGATTGGCTTCATAATTTTATTACTAGGAAAAGCCAATTATAGCAAGTATTTGATCCCTCTATCCTTCAAGTGCTATATATTTATGTCTTAATCAATTATTCTATTCGTGCTATATATTTATGTCTTAATCAATTATTCTATTCTTTTCAATTCAATTGTAACTTGTGATTCTAATTCCTTTCAGTCAGTGGAACTCTAGTATAAATATCTTATGATTGTGGGCAGTCACACTTGAGACCAGCAAAGTTGATCATTTACTGTGTTTTGTATATCGTTGTTTTAAGGTTTGTGAAGAACAATGGCATCAATGAAGGCTGCAAAACCTGTTGGGACTCAACTTTTTGGGCAAGTGAAGAAGGAGCCTGCTAGTGCCAAGACTAGTGATGGTGCATCCAAGACTTCTTCAGCCTCTAAGTCTGCTTCCAAGAAGTTGCCCAAAAGACTGCTGAACCTAAGAGGAAGGTAGCTCATATAATTTACCTGAAAAAAGGAAAGAAAAAAAAAATGGTACAAAAACACCCACTAGATGTGCTAGTGGCAATTTTGAAATTATTATTCATAATAGTGGGTGTTTAAGGGGCGAACTCTCAAGTGAGTTATAAACTCGAATGTCTTGAGTTGGAATTTTGCTCAACTCATAAATGTGGTTTAAAGGTGATTGCATATATAAATGAAAAACTTGCAAATCAATCATATTTTTTTAAAAATAATTACAGATTTATGAAAAAATTTATGACTTTAACTATTAAAATTTACTATGAATCTAAAATTATTTTTGAAATACACCACTGATTTGTTATTTGACCAAGGATCCTCTAGAGTAAAATTTCCCTAAAGTTTTCTAAAGTGCTACATTGTGTGGTTGAGATTTACTGGCAAGTCACATCAATTTTTCTGATGTGACTTGCCAGTAAATCTCAACCACACAATCACACACTCTAGGAAACTTTAGGAAAAAATCACTTTAGAGGATCCTTGCTCAAAACAATAAATAAATAAAACATTTACCATAACATGCTACTTGGAAACATGTCAAGATGTTGATTCATCCACTAGACCACAAGAAATTTTGTGGTTGGTTAGAGAGAGGGTTTTGCAAAATACCGCTCAATCTATTAAAATTGTTTAATCTGCACCAATCTGTTCACTAATTGTGGGTTAGTTTAACTCGTGATTTGAAATTTATAATATGCCTTTGAAACTATTCTGCTCAGCTATAATTAATATATATATTTTTTTCAACTACAATAAAATAGTAAAGTAAAAATTAGTATGAGAGAGATTTAAAATGTGAATTTTGTTGCAAAAATTAGAATTCTTGGTGAAGCCTGTCTATGTATGTAATAATTGAGTGTGGTATGATTTTACAGGCAATGGGTGGGAAATCAGCAGCTAAGCGTTGAGAAATCGGCATTTTGAATAAAAGGATATATCTTAAAGATCTTCTTATATATGGATCTAAATCCATATTTCCCTTTTGATGTTGTTTTTTTTTCATTCAGGCTGTGGCCAAACAGTACTTGATATCTCCTTGTAAGTTAGGTTGTTGCTTGGCTTGGCCTAAGAAATAAAACTAGGTATTTGAAAAATGAGAAATCTCTGCTTGATTCATTTATCCACTTAAATATTCGGATAAATTAGGCTCCTCTATATTTGAGAAAATTTTCACTTTGTTTCCTATGATTTTAAATTTATTAACTTAAACTTTATATTTCTAGTTACGCTACAATTAGTCTTTTCGTCTATTGCTTTTGACATTTTGGACACAAAAAACAACCGCATATGTACTCATTTAGAAATTTTAAGAATTCTTGCACAGAAAAGAAAAATGGGTAAATAATTCGGATAGTCCCTGTAATTTATTCTAAATTCTTTTCACACATATTATTTTTTCATCCAAAATATTATTGATAACTAATAGACGATCACATTGAAACGAAATTAAAAATATGTAATCGATCTATCTATCTATTATATAAGGAAAAGAATGTTTTGAGTGAGGAGTCTTTTAAGACTTTTAATATCTCATGCTAATTTTCTTGATTTTCTTAATTTTAAACAATTAAGTCAATCTTCATTGGCTAACTTTTATTTAATAATTCCACATTGGAAAAAGAAGGAAAAAAATAAATTGTTTTACTCATATAAAGTGAATCTTATACTTTCATCTCATTTAGTGAAGAGTCTTGTGAGAGTTTCAATATCTCACACTAATTTTCTTGATTTTCTTAATTTTAAACAATTAAGAAAATTTTCATTGGCTAGCTTTTATTTGATAATCCCACATCGAAAAAAGAAGGAAAAACATTAGTTATTTTACTCATATAAAGTGAATCTTATATTCCTATCTCATTTAATATTGTAATGTTATGCATGTTTCAATTTAATATAGTTTAAATTTTAGAAATTTTAATTAATTAATTATGACCTAGTTGATTATGCTAAATCATTTTTAATTTGTTGGTTTAACCGTGATTTTAGCGGTTTTATCAAAATATATTGATTAAATTTGTTTGATTCGAAATAAACTAAAGATTGATCTGACTAAAGATTGAAAGACTGAAATTGCTTGATTAGAAATATATTTTTCGTTCAAATAATTGTTAAGTTTTATTTTATAATCTCATATCGGAAAAAGAAAAGAAAAAGTGACTTGTTTTACTTAATATTGTGTATACTTCAATTCAAGACTATTTAAATTTTAAAATTAAAATAACATTTAAAAGTTTTAATTAATTAATTTTTGTATAAATTGGTTGGTCATTTAACTTAACCGATTAGGCTGAACCATTTTGGATTTGACCGATTTGCCGGTTTAATCGCGATTTCTCATATTGATTTAATTAATTTTAAACAATTAAAAAAATTTCCATTAGCTAACTTCTATTTAACCATATAAAAAAAACTCTAATTAGTTTATGATTTATTTTATAATTCCACATCAGGAGAAGAGGAAAAAGTAAAGTTTTTTTCACTATCTATCTATATAATATATGAGAAAAATGGAGTTTTTAGGGAGAAACCTTCTAAAATATTCAAACCCTTATTCTAAAATTATTGAATTTTCTTAATTTTAAACAATTAAGAAAATTTTCATTGGCTAGCTTCCATTTAATTTTTATTTCACAATCCCACATCGGAAAAAGAAAGAAAAAAAGTGAATTATTTCATTTACGTAAAGTGAACCTTATGCTCCCATTTATATTAGCAAAAGAAGATTTTTAGTGAGAAATCCTATAATCAATATCTCATACTCATTTTTTTGATTTTCTTAATTTTGAACAATAAAAAAAATCTTCATTGGTTAGCTTCCATTTTAATTTTATTTTACAATTTCACATAGACATTTTGATTTTAAAAATAATTTTGTATGAGATTTTGAAACTCTCATAATATTTAACTTTAAAATAATTACAATACCACATCAAGAAAAGAAAGAAAAAATGAGTTGTTTCACTTATATAAAGTGTTACAATTACACATTGAGAAAAGAAAGAAAAAGTGAGTTATTTCACTTATATAAAGTGAATCTTATAAAGGGGGTTTGAGGAAGAAACCTTCTAAAAATTCCAAACTTTCATTCTAAAATTATTGAATTTTCTTAATTTTAAACAATTAAGAAAATTCCTATTGGCTAGTTTCCATTTACCTTTTATTATACAATCCCAAATCGGGAAAAGAAGGAAAAAGTAAATTGTTTCATTTACTTAAAGTGAATCTTATGCTCCAATTTATATAAATTATTGAATTTTCTTAATTTTAAACAATTAAGAAAATCCCTATTTGTTAGCTTCCATTTAATTTTTATTTTACAATCCTACATCGGGAATAGAAAGAAAAAGTGAATTTTTTCACTTACATAAATTGAATCTTATGCTCCCATTTATATAAGTAAAATAAGATTTTTAGTGAGAAGCCCCCAAAATCAATACCAATTTTTTTTTTATTTTCTTAATTTTAAACAATTAAGAAAATCTCCATTGGTTGGCTTCTATTTAACTTTTATTTTACAATTCCACATAAACATTTTGATTTTAAAAAAAATTTTGTAAGAGATTTTAAACTCTCATAATATTTAACTTTAAAAAAATTACAATCCTACATCGAGAAAAGAGAGAAAAATTGAGTTGTTTCACTTATATAAAATGAATTTTATGCTCTCATTTAACATTATAGTATTATGCATGTTTCAATTCAAGATAGTTTAAATTTTGAAATAAAAATTAAAGGTTTTAATTAATTAATTTTGTTGTAAATTGATTGGTTTTTTGACTTATCCAATTAGGTTGAATCATTTTCGGTTTGACTGATTCACTGGTTTAACCACTGTTTTATCAAAATATATTAATTAAATTTGTTTGATTAAATAAATTAAGATTGACTTTATTAAAAATTGAGCGACTGGGATTGCTTAATTAAAAATAAACTTTCCGTCCAAACAACTGTTTACTTTTATTTTACAATCTCACATCAGAAAAAAGAGGAAAAAAATGAGTTGTTTCACTATGTAAACAATGTGCTCCCATTTAATATTGTAATGTTGTGTATATTTCAGTTTAAGACAGATTTAATTTTAAAATTAAAATAAAATTTAAAAGTTTTGATTAATTAATTTTTGTATAAGTTGGTTGGTCCTTTGACCTAGCCGATAAAGTGAATCATTTCGTTTTGACTGATTCGTTGGTTTAACTGTGATTTTAACAGTTTTATCAAAATGTGTTGGTTAAATTTGTTTGATTCGAAATAAATTAAAGATTGACATAATCAAAGATTAAACGAATAAGATTGCTTGATTCGAAATAAATTTTCTGCCCAAACAATTGTTAACTTCAAACAATTAAGAAAATCTTCATTGGCTAATTTTCATTTAACTTCTATTTTATAATTCTATATCGAGAAAAAAAATAAAAAGTGAATCGTTTCACTTATATAAAGTGAATCTTATTTTTCCATTTATATAAGCAAAATAGGATTTTTAGTGAGAAGTCTTATGATCAATATCTTATGCTAATTTTTTTTTTCTTAATTTTAAACAATTAAGAAAATTCCGATTGGCTAACTTCTATTTAACTTTTATTTTACAATCCCACATAGAGGTTTTGATTTTAAAAATAATTGTGTATGGGATTTTGAAACTTTCATAATATCTCTCCTTAAAAGTATTTTTTTATAAAATATATAGATATTTTATAGTAATCTCAGTATTACTATTACTGCTCCTTAATACAAAAATTATGTGATAATTATGATAATTTTAAATTTGTATTTAAAACTTATAAATTATGAGATAGATTGTTATAATTTTGAATTTATATTGTGTCAATTTTAAATTTAAATTAATAGATTGCTTTCCATATTTAGTGACAGTTTAAATTTTAATAAAATAAAATTTAAAAGTTTTAATTAATTAATTTTTGTGTAAGCTAGTTGGTATTTTGACCTAACTAATTAAGTTAAACCATTTTTTGTTTGAGTGATTTGCTGGTTTAACTGTGATTTTACCGGTTTTACATATTACGATGATTATTTCTTACTCATTAAGTTTTTAAAATTTCTTTAATTATTTCCCTTTCAAAAACTAATATGATAATTTTTTAAAATTCATATATTTTTATTCTAAAATAGTGAAGCATTAGAATTATGTCATTTTTTTTATAACAAAGCATAATTTTAATTATTAATTGTCAACACAACAATTTTAATAGTAAATGAATATTTAAAAAAAAATTCTTAAACTTATATATAAAATTTTATTTACATGCAACAAAATATAAAAAAATTAAATATAATTATTATATTTTAAATAAATAATATATTATTTTATCCCGTGCATAATACGAGTCATATGTTAATTTAAATTAATGAAATTGAGACTGCAGGCTACTTGCTTATTGTGGCCCCCTCATCAGTGCATGCTCCAAGTATGAAATGGTTTAACTTTATTTATTAATTGTCTATCTAGTTTTGGAGGATTCTATGTGCACATCCCTAATTTCTAAAAATAGTACAGAGTAAGAAATAAGATATGATATTGTGATATTAGTTATATCATTTTATCGTAAAAGTTAGTGAAATTTATAAATTCTCCATTACATACAATAGAGAGGATCAAAATCCCCACTTATAAAGTGAAAATTACGAATAATTGTGATTGTGTTTTAAATATATTACAAATGATGTAGCGAAAATGTCATGATTCATTTAGGGTGAAAAATGGTAGGAACCATTCTCAGGGCCGGCCTTGGGCATAGGCCACAAGGTCATGGCCTAGGCCCCTCAAAATAGACTTAAAAAAAAGACCCTCTCCTATTATAATTTAGTATAATATATTATATGTGTCTTAAGTAGGCCACAAGGCCATGGCCTAGGACCCCTCAAAATAGACTTAAAAAAAAACCTCCTCCTATTATAATTTAGTATAATATATTATATATGTTTTAAGTCTAAAAAAATAAAAAATAAAAATCCAAACTAACTTAAAGTAAATTGACTCATTAAAAAATTAAAAGGCCATTTAAAAAATTAACATTGTTATCCATAGAAAATAGACCCAAAAAAGGGGTCTATCTTATTATAGTTTAGTCTAATATATTAAGTACTAGAAAATATATATGT